TGACGTGGTAATTCAAGAAACGATACATACTGATAGTTGCAATTTAAAACGAATTCCAAAACTGCCTTCCATATTTGCGAAGTGTTTTTCTGAGGGAAGTTGTGAGAGTATTCTAATGCGAAAATAGCTTGCGCGCCTGTCAATAAATGCTCATCAACATCAAATTCAGCATGAAACAACAAGCAAAGGGTTGGTTTATCATGAAGACATGTCTTTGTCAATGTACACCTTTGTGTGCGCTCCTGTTCTGGGCCCATGTTGAGGTTTTGAGCATTTTGACGCATGCTCTCAAACCATTCTTTACAACAACAAAAAAACACTCATGACTGCTTCCAAAGAAAGCTTCGCAAATATGGAAGACAGATTTGGAGTCAGCGGGTTTGGTGGCCACAAGCTGCCACTTCGACCCAGTATCCTTCTCTTGTTAGAAATGAATTGATAAGGTAACTATGGCTTAATCATGACATTCCATTTTAATACGGAAATACTACTACTAGTAGTACCCTAGACCATAAAAGCTAAACCCAGACCATCAAAAGTGCGGAAAAGGAGCGAAAGAGAGAGGGTGAGGAGAGAAAGCGAAAACCCCATTCGTCATTGCACCCAAGAGATCAAGCGGGCAGCCAACAACCTGCGGGTTGGAAGCTAACAGAGTTGCGGCAGGAAACGAGCGGAAACTAGCCCACCACAGCATGCCGATAACTATGGAGCATCGATCAGAGCTTATGACTCATACAGAGCCTTCATTGGTTTTACGAACATTATACTAGTCTGCTCATACTTGGCCTTTTTTGAATATCATGTCACGTCATTTTCTGATGCAACGAATGTATATTATGAGCAATCCATTTAGATTTTTTGGGTTGTGACAAGCTACTATTATAGAGCTTTATAAAGCTATAACACCAGAAGAAATGGATTTCAACGTCGTCTCATAATTTCTTCCTGACGCACTAGAGAGCAACTTCTCCAATTACTGGGGCTCCAAAATAATAAGCCCGCAGACCGATATATCGAACCTCCTTACCGCGTGCAATGTTGCGTAAAGTCAACATCCCCTTGGCGCAATGGAAAGACGTCACAGTTGCGAATCGCACGGCAAACCTTGCCGTGCACTTGCTGCCGAGCGGCTTGCCGCTACTCGTACGATTTGTGGTGTTCATGACAACGTAAAATTAGCGCTGGAGCATGTATTCCCACAGACGTAATATACTTATTTATCTCCTTTGCGCTTATCTTCGTTGCGAAATATTCATCAAATTTCCGAAGTGGAATTGATTCTGGTGGCAGAGAAGTCCGCATATAGTATTCACAGGCGGGGGATTAGTAATGTGTAGAGTTATTCCGGCTTATTCATCACGACTCCCATCTCTTTGTTTTAAATGTTAGGTCTAAACCCATATAGAAATTACTTATAAAAGAAATACAAATATTATTCTATTTTCTTTGTCAATTTTGATGAATCTGTTCATTGAATCACACAAATACATGAGTTGTGCAGCGGATGAGGCGATGTGTGATGCAATTCATGCCCCTTATTGAATAACTCTTTTGTCATCATTTAGCACCGTTTTAAGGATAGTGTTTCATCGAGTGTCGGAAGAAAGCATTTTCTGTTCTTTAAACCATTAGCAGAACAATATTCATCTCTGTGCCATTAGAGAAAGATCGCGTGTGGAGAGTCTCCTCGTACTGTTTGGCTCCTTTTATGGGTTATTTACTTTAACATCGTCTATTAAGAAATCTACAGGAGTTGGTAAAGGTTTACTGCAAAAGTTTATTCAGATTTATTGCAACTCAAGATGGAAAACAATTTTAATCACTTGGAAAAATCCTCTTGCTCACTTAGTTTTGAAGTCAGCTGATAATGGATGATAACTGCTCTCAGCCTACATG